CAATTATGTTCGCCCTACTCCCTCAGGAAAGAAGGTGTCCCTCTCCTTGGTTGCCAATCCTTTTCACTCAGAAGCTGAGGATCCAGTCGTCCTTGGAAAGTCTCGTGCCATTCAGCATTTTGAGGGTGACGAGACAACTCATTACACTGCTATGGGTGTTTTGCTTCACGGAGACGCTGCTTTCACTGGTCAGGGGATCGTTTATGAGACTATGTGACTCCACAATCTTCCGTGGTATGGTATCGGAGGCACCATGCATCTTATCGTGAACAACCAGATTGGGTTCACTACTCATCCTCGTTTCTCCCGATCTACTCCTTACCCCTTCGATCTAGCAAAACCATTGACGCTCCCATATTCCATGTAAACGGCGACAACGTCGAGGCTGTCAACTTCGTCTGCCAACTTGCTGCGGACTACCGCGCGAAGTACAAGAAAGACGTTGTTATCGACATTGTCTGCTACCGCCGCTATGGTCACAATTTAAACCGACCAGCCTAGCTTCACTCAGCCCAGGATGTACAAGGCCATCGAGAAGCAGCCCACCCCTCTTACTCAGTACACCAAGTTCTTGGTTGGCCGAGGAACATTCACCGAAAAAGACATTGAGGAGCACAAGACTTGGGTCTTGGGTATGCTCGAGAAGGCTGCTGCTGGTGCCAAGGATTACGTTCCCTCAAGCAAGGAATGGTTCTCAGCTGCGTGGTCAGGATTCCCAGGGCCTAAACACCTAGCTGAGCAGACCCTCCCTACCCGTGCTACTGGTTCTGACGCAGAGACGCTCCAACGCATTGGCAAGGCCATCTCCTCCTATCCAACCGGCTTCACTCGACATCGCAATCTCGCCCGTATTCTTGGGACTCGCGGTAAAACAGTCGAAGAAGGTAGTAACATCGACTGGTCGACCACTGAGGCTCTTGCATTCGGCTCTCTCGCTCTGGAAAAGATTCACGTTCGCGTTTCAGGTCAAGATGTGGAGCGCGGTACCTTCTCCCAACGTCATGCCGTCATCCGCGATCAGATCAATGAACAGCAGTACATCCCCCTCAACGACCTCGGTTCTAGCCAAGCACGTTCCGTCATCTGCAATTCCTCCTTGTCCGAATACGGTACCCTGGGATTTGAACTTGGACACTCACTCGTCTCTCCTGATTCCCTGACCGTCTGGGAAGCGCAGTTCGGTGACTTTGCCAACAACGCCCAATGTATCATTGACCAGTTCATTGCGGCTGGCGAAAGGAAATGGCTGCAGCGTACCGGTTTGGTTGTCAACCTGCCCCATGGTTATGATGGTCAGGGCCCTGAGCATTCTAGTGGAAGAATCGAGCGTTTCTTGCAACTGTGTGATGACCATCCCCATCCCATCCCCACTCAGGAAAAGATTGAACGTCAATATGAGGTTGTCTACCCCACGTGAGTTTTCGTTTTGCCTTCCTTTCCTTGATATTCTTGCTGAAACGGGCTAACAGGACACCAGCGAACGACGTATGCACAACATGACCCTTTGTGTGATTACCCCCTGACTTTTTGTTTTGTATAGTTCCACGTTCTCCGTCCGCAAGCCTGTAAGTTGCCAGTATTTCTCTCAACAACCATTCGTAACGCTACTCTATCAACCTATCCTCTTCTTCTCCAAGAGTCTCCTGCGCCACCCCAAAGCTCGGTCGAGTCTTGATGAGATGATTGGAGACACTCACTTCCTACGCTATATCCCAGAACCTCATGATTCAGCTTTCGTCGCTCCTGAGCAGATCACTCGATATATCCTTTGCTCTGGTTAGTCTGATCATGCCGTCTGTTCGAAGACCGCATTAACACTCAAACAGGCCAGGTCTACCACACGCTGGTGCAAGCTCGTGAGGAAAGAGGCATCAAAGATGTTGCCATCAGTCGTATTGAACAACTGTCTCCCTTCCCTTACGACTTGGTACGTCGCTCATGAATGTTAAAGGTGGTCAATGCTGATTTCTTTCTAGATCACCCCCCACCTTGACCTTTACCCTAATGCCAGCCTTCTCTGGTGCTAGGAGGAGCCTCTCAACAACGGTGCCTGGAGTTACGTTGGTCCTCGCATCTACACCGCTGCTGGCAAGACCCAACATCATAAAGGGAAATATCCGTTCTACGCAGGACGTGAACCCACCAGCTCTGTCGCTACTGGAAGCAAGGTCCGTCTTTTTTCCTTGAAGCCCTTGATCAACGTTGCTAGACTAGTGGAACAGCTCCAACACAAGAAAGAAATTGAAGCATTCCTTGATACTGCTTTCACCGCGCAGCCCGGGCAGTGCGCTATTTCTACGAGATTTGTTAGGGTTAGGGTCCCCATTACGCGTCATCTGACGAGAACGCGAACACTTTCAATCTCAAACTACAACTCTGCCCTCCTCCTCGTCGTCTAATCAGCCATGGAGACCTCATTCGCAATCACTGGCAAGGGTTATGTGATAGTTGCGGCAGACACAACCTCTGCCCGCTCAATCGTCAAGATGAAAATTGACGAGGACAAAATCAAGACACTCAGCCCACAGCTGCTCAGCGCTTATGGCGTACTCTGGCGAACCAGGTACTTCCTTAAACTCACATAATCCTATCATAATACTCACCAAAAAACCCAGCAACAGGCGACACCGTCCAATTCGCCGAATACGTCGAGCGCAACATCCGTTTATACCAGATCCGCAACTTCTAACCTTTGCGACCCTCCGCAGCCGCTTCCTGGATCCGTCGTGCCCTCGCGGAGTCTCTGCGCTCACGTAAACCTCCTTCTTGGGGGATACGATACGGTCTCGCATGATGCCCACCTTTACTGGATTGATTACCTTGGTACGATGACGGAGGTGCCGTTTGCCGCGCATGGGTATGGATCGTATTTTGCACTGAGTTTGTTGGATAGGTGTGTTGAGTCTTTATGTATCTTGTTGGGCTTGTGTATGCTGAAGTATCATAATCCTGAAGCTACGATTGAGGAGGGGCTTGGCTGTTGCCTGGCCCACGACGACGATTCCGACCACCACCACCACAGCACTCAACTTCCAACCTTCCGGTGGTCTCGGAACCAACTCTGCACCTCCGTTCTATCATCCCCTAAGCGACTTTGATTTCAAGTCCCTCGTATGTCTGACTTGTTCATCTCATCTCTTTTCCATTCCAACTGACGATGAATGACCCAGAATCTTGCATTAAACCAACAGCTCCCCGAACTCGACCTCTTCCGCTTTGGCCTGGCAACGTTCACAGTTCAGGAATTCGAGGACGTACAGATCTTCGAAGCGGGCAGATCTCTCATCCAGTTCTTAGCTAACCAAAAGTGTCGCATGCTACTCTGCTCTCGAACATGATTGGAGGTGGGGTAACCCTCATCGTATGACTCTCAGCAGCGTTTAGGTCTAACGTTACGATGCAGAACAGGCAGCCAATTAGTGCACTTACAAATTCCCATTCGAAGACGTCCGCGAATTCATCAATTTCAGCCAACAGGTTCGTCCCTCCCTCCCTTTTACCCCACTTCCCCCACTTATCCCCTCCAGATAGCAGCAATAGGCGAATCCGGCATCCTAGGCTTCATCGAACACCTTGACTCACGCGCAACCGCCCAACTCCTCGCCCAAACACTAACAGCCTCTTCCCGCGAACAAATGATTTTCCGCCAATACGAAGGCCTCTTCCCCGTTCCTGTCGACTTTCAAACGGCGATTACGCAGAGTATGATGTGGACGCTGTTGGCGCCGTTGATTATAAGTTGTCCAGCTGGGAATCCGGTGATTGAGTTTCAGAATTTTCCGGCGTTGAATGTTGTTGTGCGTTTCCTTTTTTTCTTGTCCTTCATCTTTCTTCCCTTCCCCCTCCCTCTCCTCCTCCTCCTCCTCCCAACTTACCCATCTTCGACACAGAACAACCCCGATCCAACACCCTTCGTCAACACCTCCATCCCAGACAACAACACCAACCCCGCCATCACGCATAACCGCTCCATTCCCCTCTCCTTGCCCGGACGACAGGTCAATCTTACTTGAGATTTACCCGGTCAAGCGATAGGCCCCAATAGTTTTGTTACGAATACGACTGCTGGTCTGCCCCGGGTGAGGTTTGGTTTTAGTTTCATCTCTTCTTCCACCTATGTTTAAATCATGCGTGCGGGACTGAAGAATGGAATGTGATATAGTTCATAGCCTGGATATCGCAACTCAATACCACCTACACCGTCCTCGAAAACATCGTCAATCAGACGGGAACGACGTTCCAGCCGAATGGCACCGTTTTTGGGAATGGGTCGTCGCCTATTGTTAATGCTACCATGCACGTACCCCCTTTTTTGTGGATCGAATTTAGTGACTGATAAACGTATCAAAGGTTCATTGCGATAACGGATGAAGATATCTTCGTGACGCTGTTCAACATTTCGTTCATCAATCCGCATATTGTTGCTGGGCCTGCTGTTTATCAGGCTGGTTGAGCTCCGTTGGAGCGCACATCCCTTACCATTGGGCTGTGGACGACTTAGCTTCTACGTAGCTATGGACGACATCTTTTCTTATACGGACAACGTGCCCCCCTCAAGCACAACTTCCTCACTTTTCGTTTGACCTATTATCCTTTCCTTGTAGCACACGACATAGACCATTGACTTGCGACGATCTGATTATCTTATCATGTCTTTACTACGTGTACTTTTACGTGCTATTTAGTATTTACGAATGCCAGGACAATTGCCAGTTTGACAAGCCCTGGGGAAAGTGATCAAGCAACAATTGTACATGTTTTTGCGTCTCTTGCTTCTCAACAACATGCTCCCGTCAAGGCTCTTCAAAAACTTGGGCATCCTACCACCACTACGCAGCCTCATAGTTCCACACCACCCATCCATCTCTTTTCAGCTGCGACCCGCAGCTTTTTCAACAGCCAGAAGACTTCCCATACCTCTCGCTCACAGACCGTACACCACATCTCTGCCACATACAGAGCCAATATCAGAGGATGCCTCTTCCTCTTCCTCTTCTTCCTCACCCTCCTCCTCCTCTTCTCCATTAACAACCACCTCTTCCCAACCCCGACTCTCCATGACATTCACATGTACAGTTGAGGGATGCGGCGAACGCTCAACCCACCAATTCACAAAACGCAGCTATGAGCGCGGTATTGTGTTGGTTGAATGTCCGGGGTGTAAGAATCGGTGGGTTCCATCTTTTCTTTTGAGATTAGGGTCTGACTCGCAAGAACGTAGACATCTGATAGCGGACCACCTGGGCTGGTTCAAATTCGGCACTGAGGAGGGGAAGAATCCTACGATTGAGGATATACTCCGTTCTAAGGAGGAGAAGGTTCGAAGGGGAAGTTTGGGTGCTGGTGGGGTGGTGGAGTATTATGACTGAAGTTGAGGAAGTTTTATGTTGGTTCCCCTACTGTGCTGTGATGAACTACCCCCGCTTACATATTCTATTGGATTGGTTAACTTATAGGCTTGTAATTCGCGTTGAGCTGAAAAATTCTAGTAATTTCTGGATAGGCAGGACCTAAGCTAGCTTGCGCACCTCA